TGGATTAACTGTTGTATGGCCATGCCAGATCACCAGCTGCTGCTCGTGATGGCGTTTGCTGCTACCACCCTCATGAAATGTAAGAAATGACTCAGTTCAGTGTGGCAGAGAGAGAACTACTTCTAGAAAGGTCTCATGTCGTTAACAAGTGATCCAGCAAGATGGCAGCAGAGTATGTCACTCCACTCTCCTCGCTAATTCTATTGCTCTTTCTTTCTTTGTCCTTCCTTTATTTTCCTCCCTTCTTCTCCCTCCCTCTGTAGTAATTCTCTCCCCACACCCCACCCCTTTTAACCACCTACCTTCGGGAACCACGTGGCAGGAGCTGAACGCGCGGGTTGTGTCCTGCAGCGACGGCGAATTGAGTGTGAGCCAGAGGAAAGGAGGTGGATTGAGAGTGAGTGGGCAAGGGTGGGCCGGTGGCACCGGCATGGCGAAGGCTGGAAAACCCCGAGTGGTGCTGTGCCAGTGGAAGGGAAAGTTGGACTCTCTTAAGTTATCTTTTCTTTCTTATCTTATTCTAAGTTAATGTGAATGTGTATGTAAGGCGAAGGTACACACTTCTTCACTGTTTTTACATTGAATACACGTGACAATAAATGATTCAATACCCTCACTAGTTTATTGCTTGTCGGCGGCTGGTTATGGGTTACATTGATTTGAAAGCAATTGTTATACATCCTTTAAGGAGGATCAGATGTTAGGTCCTATTCCTTCAAGATCCCCAGCTGTTCTACCCACATATCCATATAGCAGCATGGCGGACTCTGTACCCAAGTACTTGTACCTTGTGTAGCAATATTATACAGTTTTCACTGTACTCCTGTACTTTTGTACTTGAGTACACGTGACAATCAAAGTCAAAATCAAAATCATCGGATATTGGCTATCCGTTCTCAGTGATGGTTTCCATGGAGATGTATGCAGAATGTCCTCAATCTGTGTCGGTGGATTTATATTCTCACTCTGCCCGTAGACCTGTGCAGAAGTGTGAAAACGCATCAGGTGATTGGTTTGGAATCTCTCAATTGCTCTCAGCGTCATTGGTAAAATCAACGCTCAGCACATAGTCCTGGACCTTGGAAGGTGCCAGTCTGCAACACTTGGTCGAGGTCAATTCCTTCCTTTGTAAGACCAACACGTTTCAGGCAGACCAAAGAGCATCTTTCACCAAGCTGATGGCCCGCCAGACGCAGTCGATGTTTGTCTCGGTGTGCGTCCCAAGGAACAGACCATAGAGCATAGAGTCCCGCATGGAGCTGCTTGGGATGGACCGTGACAAAATCCACTGCATCTTCCTCCAGACTTCTCAGACAGTACAACACTCTCTCAGCACTGCCATGCAGTAACAACTTTGACTTTTTTTTAACTATGGTCCTGGCGTGTGTCTTGAACCCATAGTTTCTGACTTTATAGGAGTTCTACCCTCTGCGATTAACACCAACATGTGGTGGCACGGTGGCTCAGTGGTTAGCACTGCTGCCTCACAGCGCCAGGGACCCAGGTTCAATTTCACCCTCGGGCGACTGTCTATGTGGAGTTTGCACATTCTCCCTGTGTCTGCGCGGGGTGTGCTCTGGTTTCTTCCCACAGTCCAAAGATGTGCAGTTAGGGTGGATTAGCCATGCTAAATTGTGCATAGTGCCCAGGGATGTTTCGGTTAGGTGGGTTAGCCATGAGAAATGCAGGGATAGGGGAATGGGTCTGCGTGGGATGCTCTTCAGAGGGGCGGTGTGGACTTGTTGGCCCAAATGGCCTATTTCCACACTGTAGGGGAATCTCTGTGACAATGAAAGTAAAGTTGTTAAGCAGCTACATGCTAAGATTTCCATGCACAAATCTCATTCGACAAATAAATTTATGAAGAGCCATTGGGAACCAACAACAGCACTTTCAAAATACTAATCCCCTGTAGTGGTAGAAAACTGGCAAATTGATTCTACTTAGACCCCCAGTAATGATCAGAGAGAAATAACATTAATGCAATCAAAACGAGATAGATTTGAATGCAGGGCCTGCAGCTCAAAGACAATATTTCTAATCCACTCCATCTTACTCACAAACACAGTAAATATTGTAATATAAACATTCGATTTTCTTTTTTTTTGTGTAAGAGATGTTGAAAATTTAAATACCTGGAGGTCTGTATATTGAATTTAACTGTGGTGTTTCTGGCAGTTATCGTTTGATTTTGCTAACAAACTAAATATTTTATAAAATTATTCAAGTTTTCCACCCGTTCCGGTCATCACAGATTAGTTAAGTATTTTTGTGGGGTAGCTAATGGTTCTTTTTGTTATATTTAACAGGGTATACAGCATTCATAGAATCCCATTCGGCCCATCGAGTCTACACTGACCCTCCAAAGGGTCCTCCACTGGTCCTCCAAAGAGTGTTCCACCCAGACCCACCCCCACATAACCCCATATTTCTCATGGCTAATCCACCTAGCCAGTACATCCCTGGATACTATGGGCAATTGAGCTGAGCCAATCCACCCTGACAATTGCAGGCAGTAAAAGTGGGAGAGACTCCTGATCAGTTATATGATGGGGACAATATTGGAGCCTCTACATCAGTGTCCATAGCTTCAGGTTACAACATGGCCTAGTAGTATTATCGCTGGACTGTTAATACAGAGGCCCAGGTAGTATTCTGAGCACCTAGGTTTGAATCCTGCCACAGCAGATGGTTGAATTTGAATCCAATAAAAATCTGGAATTAAGAGTCTAATGATGACCATGAAACAATTGTTGATTGTCGGGAAACACCCATCTGGTTCACTAACATCTTTTAGGGAAGGAAATCTGCCATCCTTACCTTGTCTGGCCTACAGACCCACAACAATGTGGTTGATTCTTAATTGCCCTCTGGGTAATTAGGCAAGGGCAGTGCGATGCCATAAATGAATATTTTTAAGAAAAGTACATCATGCCCCCAGCAACACACACCACTTACTGATTATTGCAAGAGAGTCTTCCAAATATAGGAACAGGAAGAGGCCATTCAGCCCCTTCAGCTTATTCCACCATTCAGTGAGATCACGGCTGATCTGTAGCTTAACTCCATATACCTGCCTTTGGCCCATGTCCCTTAAAACCTTTGCTTAACAAAAACTCCTCTCTGTCAGATTTAAAATGAACAACTGATCCAGCATCCACTACCATTTGTGGAAGAGAGTTCAGAACCTTGGTTGTGTGAAGGAATATTTCATTATTTTTGAGTGGCCCCGTTCTGATTTGGCAGTTTATCGCCTTAGCCCCAGAGTCCCCACAGCAGATGTAACATGAAATAACAGAATTAATAAGAATTAATATTAGAGGCATTTGGATCAATTGTAATTTATTGGATATTGACTGACAGTGAATGTTATCTCCTGGGGACTTTGCAGCTGTTGTGGGCTTTTGGAGTCCAATTGTGCTAACTTAATCAAAGCTTTCTGTGCTAAGTGATTTATGATTGTATCCTATGTATTGTTTACACTATACTAGAATCAATTGCAAAAGGTTCCTTGATACTCTGGCAGCGATGAATTAAAATCTTTTACCTCACAGCAAGAAACTGCTTACAGACCGATGACATATTCAGTGCAGAATAAAACTACGTACTTACAAATGCGCTGTCACAGGAGTTTAAAAGCAAAACCTTTTCTTTGAATTTTTTAAATCTAAAGGAAAATTACGAGCATCCCTTAACATCCTCTCCGTTAACATCGCATGTCAGCCACCAACTGATCCAGCTTTCTCTTTGTGACAAGTAACATTGAGGGGCAGCTGGGAGCTGTTTAACCATGAAAGGATGGAGGGGATAACATTACATAAATTCACAAAAGTGGCAAGAAGATGGGCATTTTTAAAAGAGTGGGGTAATGTGGAGAGATATCAGAAACATGACCAAGTTGAATACTTAGAGATGAGAAATATCTATTCAACCCATGACAATACAGGACCATTTCTGAAATCATTCTAGAGTTTTGGAGAGAACTTGCATTTATATAACTCCTTTCACTTCCATAGAACATCCCAGCATACCAGATTAGCAAGAAACTACTTTTGCAATGTAAACACTGTCAGATAAAGAAACATGGCATCCAATTTGTACGTTACCATTTGTGGAAACTTGCTACGAGGTGAACATTTTAGTTGTTTTGGTATTCCTTGAGAATGAATGTTGATCAGAGCAATTGGTTTGAGTCTGCCTTCAGCAGGATGTTGTAGCTGATGTGGCATAATATATGTGTGTACCTGAATATTCTGGTATTGAAGAATCCAACAAACATTAGTTATAACTAACTATTGTGTACCAACACTTCATTCCTCTGGCACATATGTGTTTGGGCTAATATTGAGCTACTAGCTTACAACAGGGGAGCCTGCTTCCAGTGCAGTGTCATGCTTCAGGTGATCCGGGAGTACGATGGAGTACGAGACCTTTATACCCTCGGATCACATAGTGTTAATATCATGAGCATATTTCTTAAAGGCAAATGGATATACTGACTGTGAGAAATAACACAACAGCGTTGCCAATTACACTACACTGTTCAGAAAAGTGCCATAGGATCTTTTATCTCCAGGTGAACTGTTGGGCCTTCGATTTATTCTTATGTTATTTCCTTATCTGGGTCACGCTTCATGTGAAGTGAACCGCTCGCTCCTCAGTCCAAATATGACTGTTTGTCAATGTGACCAACTTCATTGGTTTCCGCACATGATGGATTAGGGGATGATTTCATGTCATTGGGCAGAGCCATACAGGAGCTCGTCCTCACAAAATGTGTGCCCCGAATGTTCTCCTTCCAGCAATCCCAGGATAGAAAAGGCAGCAGGTGACAGAGAGACCAAAGCACAAATTGTATACCCAATATCCCACCTCCACAAGAAAGGAGAGCACTTGGTTCTCCCTTCTTTTCCCTACGTTCCCCTCTATGTTGAAGAACCGGGTAGTATGCTACAATTCCAAGCTTAAGAAACTGATACTTTCCCTTTCTATATTTCCAGCAAATCTAGCGACGACAGACATCATCTTCTTGGTATGCTGTGTTCCGTTTACAGCCACACTTTATCCACTGCCCAGCTGGATATTTGGAGACTTCATGTGCAAATTTGTCAACTACTTACAGCAGGTAATGAGTGGCCATCTCTAGTTGACCCCTAATTAGCAGTGGATTGGGATTGGTCTCTGCTGATCTGTGGAATGGATTCAGCTATATGATCTGTGAGCTGGGTAGTGTTATGATCCTACCTAGTGGTAATACAGAACAAGTCAAATCCAAACCTGGGTTGATAGATCATAAGTTTATTTTTTGAAGCTGGATCCCATGGTGGACAGTAAGAGAACATATTCACAAGAGGCTGCCAGTGTTCTTGAACTAAAGAACACAATATAAAAAAAGCTTAAATTCAGAAAAATCTTAACATAAATAGCAAAACAGAGCAATATCCTTTATAAATTCTCAATCCCAGCAAAGTGTCACTCCTAACGTGATAGAGGTGTACAAAATGATCAGAGGTATAGATAGAGTAGACAGCCAGAGACTTTTTCCTAGGGTGAAGGTAGCTATTACGAGGGGGCATGGTTTTAAAGTGAGTGGAGGTAGATATAGGGGAGACGTCAGAGGTAGGTTCTTTACTCAGAGAGTGGTAGGGGCGTGGAATGCATTGCCGGAGGGAGTAGTGGAGTCGGCCTCATTAGGGGCATTTAAGTGGCTATTAGATAGGCATATGAATGATAGTATAAAGTAGGGACGGAGGATAGATAGACCTTAGGATTAGGGTAAAAGTTCGGCACAACATCGTGGGCCTAAGGGCCTGTACTGTGCTGTACTGTTCTATGTTCTATGTTCTAACTGAACACATTAGTTGGACTGACAATTATAAAGGTACATTGCTTAAACTTGGTTTGTATCCTGTTACGCGGAGGAGATTGGAAGGTGATCTGATTGGGGAGTTTAAAGGATTTAATAGGGAAAACCATTTCCTCTGGAGAAGGAGGAGAAATGATTAAACAAAGGGACTCAATCGTAACATTGAAGCTAGTTCAGGAAATCAGGAAGCATTTTTGCACATAAGAATGGGAGTAGAAATCTGAAATTTTTTCCCAAAAAAAAGACTGTTGATTCGAGGAGACAGTTAGATCTTTCAGCACTGTGAGTTTCACTGGGTAAGAGTTTCAAGAGATACAGTGGGTAACTGGCGTACAATGCAGGCCAATGGCCAACTGCTGTTCTAATGGTCCTTTGCAAAGGAGGAAGGGGATGTGTTATGGGGCAGACCAGACCTCCTCAAAATATTTTAAGAAAGTAGCCTAGACCCTAACTTTTTCTTATTTTAAGGCAAATGTGAAGTGCCTTGTTCCAGATGCGATGCGACTGGGTCAAACTGCTCGATATTATGCAAAACACAATTTATTTAAACACTGTAGTTAAAATATAACTGAAGAAAGAGGAATTTAGAATAACTTAACTCTACTGGAAAACTTAACCGAATAATAGAGACAGTAACTGTTACTAATTAACTGTTTCTATATAGTAACATCCCATAAACACATCCCTTGGCAAAAAGGAAAATTCACAAAAATAGATTAACCCAGCGGCAGAGAGAAACCCCAGCTTCTAGCCGTAACCGAGAGAGGGAAAAGATCACTTCTACTTCTTCAAGCCCACAACACAAACTGCTTAAAGTGAAAACTAAAAACTAAAACAGAAACTAGAAATCCTGGTCTGTGAGAGTTGGCCACACCCAGCCAGGCTGCTTCTATTGTTCCAAATTTTTTTAAAAAACCCAAAGCCTCACAAGCTATTTACTTTCTTACAGAGATAGCAGGAACTGCAGATGCTGGAGAATCCGAGACAACAAGGTGCAGAGCTGGATGAACACAGCAGGCCAAGCAGCATCATGATGAAGGGTCTAGGCCCGAAACGTCAGCCTTTCTGCTCCTATGATGCTGCTTGGCCTATTGTGTTCATCCAGCTCTGCACCTTGTTGTCTCTTACTTTCTTACAGACAGCTCAGTACCTCTGGCTCAATCACTGTTAAAAAGAAAAGGAACAAAATAACCTCTTAAAGCCACAGTATTGGCACCTGAAATGGTACAAAAAGCCAGTCCAAATGTAACACCTAGTGTGTCTTGCTATTTGCCCCCACCTAACCCAAACACCCACCATCTCTGCCTTTTGCTTTAGGTGACTGTCCAGGCGACATGTATCACACTCACTGCGATGAGTGTGGACCGCTGTTACGCGACTGTTTATCCACTCCGGTCACTGCATCGCCGTACCCCGAGGCTAGCAATGGCAGTCAGTGTGGTCATCTGGATCGGTGAGTGCTGATGGTGGGGGAAAGGCACAAAGAAAAACATTTGGAGGGATATGGGACCAGTTTAGTTTTGGAACATAGACTGGTTGGACCGAAGGGTCTGTTTCCCATGCTCTATGAGTCTATAACCAACATCACCAATACACAGAAGATTCTGGGAAGACACAAGGACAAGTTAACACTTTGTTTTTCTGTCTTCAGTAGCTGAGCTGGAGGACTCCATCTAGAATCCCTGCAGTGTGGGAGAGGCCAATCAGCCCATCACATCTTCACCAGCCCTCTGAAGAGTATCCTTCCCACACCCAGCCCCCTACCTTATCCCTGCATTCCCCATGGCTAATCCATCTAGCCTGCACATCTCTGGACAATTTAGCATAGCCAGTCCACCTTACTTGTACAGTGGGAGGAAACCGGGACACCCAGAAGAAACCCACATGGATACAGGGAGAACATGCAAACTCCACACAGACAGGCACCCGAGGGTGGAATCGAACCTGGGTCCCTGGTGCTATGAGGCAGCAGTGCTAACCACTGGGCCACTGTGCTGCCTGGTCTAGGGCCTTCCAAAGCACAGAGGGATGATGGCTGGGAACTTGGGTAAACATATTCTTTCAGATGAGCAAAGTCCTGGACCAATGGGACTTGCTAAGAGGTTGACAGCAGGGAACAAAGGAGGTGAATGGACCTGCTTGGTTATGGGATGCCTGTGCAGTGACTTGTATCACAAGCCTTTTATTCACACTCTATTTCATGATTTGGAGGCACCCCCTACCCATTAGTATGCCTTCAGCCATTATTTTTTGGTGTTGGCTCTCAGGGGTAGCTCCCACACTGGACTCCGTCAGGACCAGGCAAGGCACACAGTTCAGCAAAGTTGTGACCTGGGGCTATCAAGCAATTTATACCCGGGCACTGGCAAGAAAAGTGAGTGAGGGTTGCTTCAGTTCACTTCACTGCCATACTTAAGGATTACCGAAGTACCTGTGTTGAACTGGGAGAGATGTAGCTGGTCGTGGGGAGCAAGACATGACTTGGCTCTGATGACGAGTATAGCTAAATAAGTTGCTGCTTTTTAGGGTCTAAGTTAATGTGTTAAGAATGACAAGTTATGAGATGATGACTAGCAAGGGTCAGTCAGAAATAAGAATTCTGACAGACAGGTATGACAAACTACACATCCCAAAATACTGGGGAGGCGATGGCCTAGTGGTGTTGTTGCTGGACTATTAATCCAGAGACCCAGGTAATGCTCTGGGGACCCGGGTTTGAATCCTGCCATGGCAGATGGTGGAATTTGAATTCAGTTTTTTAAAAAAAATGCCTGGAATTAAGACTCTAATAATGACCATGAATCCATTGCCCATTGCCGATTGCCAATCTGGTTCACTATTGTCCTTTTAAGAAAGGAAACTGCCCTCCTTACATGGTCAGGCCTACATGTGACTCCAGACCTATTGCAATGTGGTTGACTCTTAATTGCTCGATGGGCAATAAATGCAGACCTAGCCAGCAATGCCTTCATCCTGTGAATGAATTTTAAAAAAAAGCTTCACATAATTGGCTTCCTTAGTTTTGCTCTGGTGTGGCAGCCATCTTGTAGTGGCCATTTTGCGGTGGCCATTTTGGGGCAGCCCACAGCAATGTCTCACAAGCAGCACTGAGGTGACTGGAGCATTGGGCAGGGATTGGGCCTGCTGTTTTGTTTGAAATAGTGCCTGTGGCATCTTTAACATTCACCAGTGCAGAAGAACGTCCTCAATTTAACAGTCCACCTGAACAATAAAGCAGGAGTCTTCGTAAATGTGCCTTTGCAGAAATAAATTACACCTCAGGTCAAAAGAGGAGACATTGCAAAGGATTAGCAGAAGGTTGAGGAATGTTGTCAGAGATATACAGGGGCGGAGAAGTTCAGGGAGGAGATTCTGGAATAAGGAGCCTAGGCACCTGAAGACATACCCTGCAATGGTTCAATTATAAATCTCATGTCTCCTTCTGATCTTCACACTGCTGCATCACCTTGAGATTACAGATCATAGGATTAATGGAATCCTCAGTGAATCACAGGATTAAATGGGAACATTCATATCACTTTACAGAGTGAAAAATCTCAATAAGAGGTAGGTTTTTCTGCTTCCTTTTTAGCTGTTCTTATCCTGAACTTTAAACCTTTCACCTCTTTTCATCCTCAGATTGATACTTGGTTTTGTTTCCTTTATCCAGGTGCATCTGTTCGTCATTTTTGACCTTCTTTTATTTTGTTCTCCCTTTGCAGGCTCCTTCCTTCTGTCTGTCCCCATGGCAATGTACCACAGATTGGAGCAGGGCTACTGGTATGGGCTGCAGACTTATTGCATTGAAGCATTTCCGTCAGTATTGCAGCAGAGAGCCTTCATTGTGTACACGTTTCTTGCAGTCTACCTGCTTCCCTTGTTCACCATCTGTGTGTGCTACACTGTCATGTTGAAGAGAGTGGGCCAGCCCATGGTTGAACCCATTGACAGCAACTATCAGGTAAAGAAAGCAAGAACGTCCCTTTATCAGGTGCTTCCTCAGGTATCCCAAAGACCTTCACAGTCAACAAAAGTCTCCTTTTGGAAGTCGGGAAACACATTTGGGAGGTGAAAAAGAGAGGGAGAGACTGGGGGGGAGGGAGAGAGAAAGACTGGGGAGACGGTAAAGAGAGACAGAGACTGGGGGCAGGGAGAAGGAGGAGTGAGAGAGAAAGAGAGAGAGGGAGAAAGGAGATAAGGAGAGGAGGAGGAGAGACAGAGACTGGGGACAGGGAGGGGGAGAGAGACAGAGACTAGGGGCAGGGAGAGGGAGGAGTGAGAGAGAGAGAGACTGGGGGCAGGGAGAGGGGGAGAGAGACAGAGAAAGACTGGGGATAAGGAGAGGGGGAAGTGAGGGAGAGAAAAAGAGACTGGAGGCAAGGAAGTTGAAATAACTGCACAGAGGCTGGTATCCTGTCGCCAAGTCACCCTTTATTTACTAGCGCACAGTACACTGGCTGTGACCAGCCAGCTCGGAGACAGTCCTCAACCAAGGAAATTCTAATCCCCTGATTATATTGGCCAGCCAAGGCTTTTCTTACTGGCCCAGGTTTATAACTCCGACCAAGAACCTTGCAGTTAACAAGGTCCACCTGGTCACAATCACTACATTGGAACAATAGAAGCAGCCTGAGTGGGTGTCGTCGAGCTCTCACAGATCCTGGATTTAGTTAGCTTTCGGCCGTTGTTGCTTGGCTGTCAGCAGGGTTCGACGACAGGGAATCTCTTCTGGCTACTACGCTCTCTCTGTAAGAATTGTCTTTTGCTGTTCTTTCCTCCTGAATTGGAGAATTGCATGTGAGACAATCTGTATTCTGCTTTTTCTTCTCTCTCTTTCTGCTTTTTGTCTGCTAGAGCTATTCCCTCTTTATGTCCCCTTTTCCTCTGCATTCAATCGTGAATGTAACTTTTTCATGTTCAAGCTGCTTCATTTGCAATTGAATTTTAACCATTTCCAAAGATTCCGATGACATCTCTGGCACTCGTAAATGTCGAGCGATCGCTGCAATTATCTCCCCTTTTTGCATGAAGGAGGCAACCCCAACTCCAGCGTGCCTGCCAATTCCAAAAGTCACTTTCTTTAAAACTCCCAATGTGACCTTCTCCACCCCTGGAAGCTTTTAGTGACTGAAAGAGCCGCTACTACAGAAGGCACACCCTGTGTAAACCAACCGAATTCAACACCCGAAACAAAAGATACTAACACTTAACTATTTGCAGCCTTTGAGCCCAGTCATCCTAAACCCAACCCGGGAATTAAAGATTTTGATCCAGATAAGAACGCCCAATTAGTAGTGGACCCGAGCAGACCTCCTCAAAATACATTAAGAAGGTCCCTTAGACTCAACATTTTCTTATTTTAAAGGTAAATGTGAGGTGCTGTGTCCCAACTGCAATTCAATTGGTCAAACTACTCGACATTAAGCAAAATATAATTTATTCAAACACTATATTTAAAATGCAACAAAAGAAAGAGGAACTTGGAATAATTTAACTTTATTGGAAAGCTTAACAGAATAATAGATTATCTAACTACTAAACAGTAACTGTTCCAAAATTTGACGATATGAAGGTGGGTCGAGTTGTGGATAGTGTGGAGGGCTGTTCTAGGTTACAAAGGGACATTGATAGGATGCAGGGCTGGGCTGAGAAGTGGCAGATGGAGTTTAACCCTGAAAAGTGTGAGGTGATTCATTTTGGAAGGACAAACTTGAAAGCAGAATACAGGGTTAACGGAAAGATTCTTGGCAGTGTTGAGGATCAGAGGGATATTGGGGTTCATGTCCACAGTTCCCTGAAAGCTGCCACCCAGGTGGATAGAGTTGTTAAGAAGGCGTATAGTGTGCTAGCTTTCATTAATAGAGGGATTGAGTTCAAGAGCCGTGAAGTTATGCTCTAGCTATACAAAAGCCTGGTTTGGAGTATTGTGTCCAGTTTTGGTCGCCTCATTACAGGAAAGATGCGGAAGCATTGGAAAAGGTGCAGAGGAGATTTACCAGGATGTTGCCTGGAATGGAGTGAAGGTCTTACGAGGAAAGATTAAGAGAGCTAGGGCTTTTCTCTTTAGAACGACGAAGGATGAGAGATGACTTGATAGAGGTGTACAAAATGATCAGAGGTGTAGATAGAGTGGACAGCCAGAGACGTTTTCCTAGGGTGGAGGTAGCTATTACAAGGGGGCATAGTTTTAAGGTGAGTGGAGGTAGATATAGGGGAGACGTCAGAGGTAGGTTCTTTACTCAGAGAGTGGTAGGGGCATGGAATGCATTGCCGGAGAGGGTAGTGGAGTCGGCCTCATTAGGGGCATTTAAGCGGCTATTAGATAGGCATATGGATGATAGTATAAAGTAGAGGTGGAGGTTAGATTGACTTTAGGATTAGGGTAAAAGTTCAGCACAACATCGTGGGCCGAAGGGCCTGTACTGTGCTGTACTGTTCTATGTTCTATAGTAACATCCCATAAACACACCCTTTGCAAAAAGGTAAATTCAGAAACAGATTTTCTCACATGCAATTCTCCAATCCAGGAGGTAAGAAAAGCAAAAGACAATTCTGAGAGAGAGAGTGTAGTAGACAGGAGAGACTCCCTTCCTTCGAACCCTGCTGAGAGCCCAGCAACAACAACTGAAAACTAACTAAAATCCAGGATGTGTGAGAGCTTGACCACGCCCACTCAGGCTGCTTCTATTGTTCCAAATTAAAAAAAAATCCCTAAGGCCTCACAAGTTGTTTATCTTCTTGTAGACTGCTCAGTATCTGTTCCCAATCTTCTCTCAAAGAAATCAAGACAAAATACACCTCTTAAAACCACAGCATCATCAGAAGAAAGAGAGACTGGGGGCAGGGGGAGAGACAGAGAGAGAGATGGGGATAGGGAAATGGAGAGAGAGAGAGTGAGAGAGACTGGAGATAGGGAGAGGGCAAGAGGGAGAGTGAGACAAACTGAGGATAGGGAGAGGGGGGAGAGAGAGGGAGAGACAGAAAGAGAGAGAGATGGGATGGGAGAGGGGGAGAGAGTGAGGCAGAGAGAGAGAGAGACTGGAGATTGGGGGAGGGAGTAAGAGAGAGGGGGTATAGGGAGGGGGGAGACAGAGACAGAGGGAGAGATGAGGGTGGGGTTTGGGAGCGTAGAGAGAGAGACTGGGAATAGGGAGGGGTTGAGAGAGAGATTGGGGGAAAGAGAGAGAGAGACTGGGGATTGTAAGGGGGGAGGGAGAGTCACAGGGAGAGAGGGAGAGACTGGAGATGGAGGGTGTGTGGAGAGAGAGAGAGAGAAGAGATGGAGAGAGACTTGGGATAGGGAGAGGGGGAGAGAGAGTTACAGAGAGAGAGAGGTAGAGACTGGAGACGGGGGGAGAGAGAGAGAGAAAGAGAGAGAGGATAGAGACTGGGCACAGGAAGAGAGGGAAGAGAGAGAGAGAGAAAAAGAGAGAGACAGGGGATAGGAAGGGGGTAGTGAGCGAGAGAGACTGGGGAGTAGGGACAGGGCGAGAGAGACAGAGAGAGAGAGACAGACTGGGGATGGGGGGGAAGAGAGAGCGAGAGACTGGGGATAGGGAGAGGGGGTGAGAGGGGATGACTGAGGGTGACGGGGAGAGACTTGGGGGCGAGGGTGAAGGATATTATCAATGAAGTATTTCTAAAACATTTGAAAGGGACTAAGATTGGTCCCAATGGCATGGGGTTCGATCCTGTTATGGCTGTGGTTGAATTCAAGACCTCACACATTGTTTCACCCATTGCGATCGTCATGGCACTGTGGGTTAGACCAACCTCGGTGAGAGAACTCAAGGAGAACAAAAGATTCTCAACAGGAACTACCAAGGGTTTCCAAGGTTAAAGTTCCTCTTTCAATATTTGAAGAGACAGGAGTCTATCAGCTTGGTACCAGCCTTCTGTAAACAGCAGTCCCCATAGGGTGCACTGTCACAAGCAGAAATAACACCTTAACTTCATGTTGATAAGTTTCCTTTCTAAGATTCTGTTGCTATTTTGATTGTTTTGTTACAGTGCCCACTTCTTGGAAAAGATTAGAAAGAGACTTACTGGCACACTGAGCACTGGTATTTGGGAGGCCTTGGATCCATTTGATGAAATGGGTGGCTAGCACTGCTGCCTTACAGTGTGATCTTGATCCAAGGGATCCAAGTTTGATTCCTAACCTTGTGCAAATGTCTGTGGGGGTTTGCACAATCTCCGCGTGTCTGCGTGGGTTTCCTCCGGGTGCTCCAGTTTCCTCCCACAGTCCAAAGATGTGAAGGTTAGGGTGGGTTAAATTGCCCGTAGTATCCAGGGATGTGCAAGCTAGGTGGGTTATCCATGGGGAATGCAGGGATAAGGTAGTGGGGTGGGTCTGGGTGGGATGCCCTTTGCAGGGTTGGTGTGGACCAAATGGCCTACTTCTACACTGTAGGGATTCTGTGAAAGGAAGATGAAGGTGGGACCAGGACAAAATTACATTTGGATGACATTTAATTGCTACTTATTGTGAAATGTGAAAAAGCTGTCAGTTCATTCCCATGTACTCTCTTGCAGCAGGTCCCCCACTTATCAGAGAGATCGATTGCTATGAGAGCCAAGGTAACCAAGATGGTGGTGGTGATTGTATTGCTGTTTACCATCTGTTGGGGGCCCATCCAATTCTTCATCCTCTTCCAGGGCTTCTACATCAACTTCCAGGCCAACTATGAGACCTACAAGATCAAAACCTGGGCCAACTGCATGTCATATGCTAACTCTTCAATCAACCCCATTGTCTATGCATTCATGGGTGAGAGCTTCAGAAAGTCCTTCAAGAAAGCTTTCCCCTTTATGTTTAGGAAACGAGTGAGAGACAGCAGTGTCGCCAACGGCTCCAGAAATGCAGAAATGAAGTTTGTCACAGAGGAGTCTTAAGTTCTTGGAAGATGACAACTGACTTGAAAACAATTCAATTATCATTAACCAAATGGCAAACTGAAATTCCTTGTTATTAACTTGTAATGCCTGTTTCTTGGAAATAATGAGCCAGATAATGACATTTGCCAAGATTCTAGATCAAGATCTTGTGAATAATTTCCATTCGGAGGAGAATTTACCATTCAGTCCAACAACTTAGTTCAGACTCGATGGGCTAAACGGCCTCTTCTGTACTGTATGACTCTAAGCCCATTCTCTCCGTGACTCATCTATCATACTGTCCACCCAACCCAACTGATCTGTTTTGGAGTTTAGCTAATCCAGTGATCCATTGCAGCTGTATTGGAGCTACCTAACTCAACTCATCTCTTGACATCTATCCAACCCAACTCACAGTCAACAACAAACATCAGCCATCTAACTTGCAGTGTTCAAATGAAGTGTGACTGCATGGCTTCTTGTTGTCAAATAATTGTGTCAACTCCAGGACGATTACCCTCCAGATATTCAAAATGCTTTGTCAGACAAGACTGGAGCTAAAGCAGGAAGCTCATTCCAAACTGTGAAATTCTAGGTTAGCTACGGGATTAATGGATGGGAGGAAGATGGTAAAAGTTAATAACAGGCTGCTATTTATGTGTAGGGGGCAAGCGGGTCAAGTGTCTTTGACTTGTGCCTGAAGAGACAACTGCAGGTGGAGGTGCCCCATCAGAAAAGAGGTTGCAACGTATTGTGTAAGAGGGAGTTTGCATTCACATTTGGCAGCAATTGTCTTTTACACCCTCTGCACTTTTAAAGTCAGTTAGTTACTCTTAAAAGTGTACCTTCTTGTTGTAACTTAGAAATATTCCAGCCATTTTATGCACAATAAAGCGTTACCATCAACAATGGAAATGCATGATAAAATGACGTGTGTTTTCGGTGATATTGTCTGGAATCTAACCTTCATTCAGGACATTTGTTTGAGTACCGCCATTGTTTTCAAACAGCATGGCGTCTTGTTTTAACACCTGTTATAGACCAGACCAAACCCCCTCAAAATATTTTAAGAAGGTAGCCTAGACCCTAACTTTTTCTTATTTAAAGGTAAATGTTAAGCAAAACTACTCAATGTTAAGCAAAACATAAATTTATTCAAACACTATAGTTAAAATACAACAAACGAAAAAAGAAATTGGAATAACTTTACTGGAAAACTTAATAGAATAATGGACACAGTAACTATTACTAATTATCTGTTCCAATATAGTAACATCCCATAAAAAGGCAAATTCAGAAAACAGATTGTCTCACATGCAACTCCAGCAGCTCGGGAGGAAAAACATCCAGAGAAACTCTGCGAGAGAGTAGCGGGGAGAGATGTACCGCAGCAACACACCCAGCAACAACTGCTGCTACTGAAAACTAGGAAACAAGAAATCCCACCCATTCACGCTGTTTCTGTTGTTCCTACTTTAAAAAAAAACCCAAGGTCTCACAAGCTGATTACTCCAGTGGCTCTGGTAGACAGCTCTTCACCTTGGTTTAAAACCTCTCTTTTAAAAAAAAGGACACAATAGACCTTTTAAAGCCAAAATATGATCACCCACGTCATGTACCACACTGAAGTGTCAGCCTAGATTATGAGTCCAAACATCCAGAGTTTTGAGCCCATAATCCTCTTACTTTATTTTTCCAAAACTTTATTCATAACATTTTATAAAGCATTTTAGGTGAGTGTTCACAGCTGACATTATATAAAGTACAAACCAAATCCTTTTCTTTCCATCCCATTATGTTACTCAATACATTTACAATTACAACTTGTATTTAGAAGATTCATTACCTGTCTAACATACAGCACAAAGTATTTTTTCCCAGCTTCCAGGCTCTCAGTGTAATGTAGCTGAAAGACCTTTGGACTCTTGTCTTTCTTCACTGCCCCAAGCTGTATCGTGGAATATGTTCCAATCTGTAACACTTGGTCATTGACTTCAGGAAGCAAGGAGGAGGGCACGCCCCTATCTACACCAATGGAGCTAAGGTGGAGATAGTCAAGAGCATCAAGTTCCTAGGGGTGACGGTCACCAACAATCTGGCCTGGTCCACACACATTAATGTTGATGGTCAAGAAAGTACAACAACGACTCTACTTCCTCAGGAGGCTAAGGAAATTCAGTATGTCATAAAGACTCTTGCCAATTTTTACAGTTGCACTGTAGAAAGCATTCTATCTGGATAAATCATGGCTTGGTATGACAACTGCTCTGCCCAGGGCCGTAAGAAACTACAGAGAGTTGTGAACTGCAGCCCAGTCCATCACGCAAGCCAATCTTCCATCCATTGACTCCATCTACACTTCACGCTGCCTTGGAAAGGCAGCCAACATCATCAAAGACCACTCCTACCCCAGTTATAATGTATCCAACCTCTTCCATCAGGCAGAAGATACAAAAGCTGAAACACACGCACCAACAGATTCAAGAACAGCTTCTTCCCCACTGTTATTAGATTTCTGAATGGACCTCTCAAATTTTAAATTTAATGTTGATCTTGCTCTTTGAGCACCTTCTCTGTAGCTATAACATTGTATTCCTCACTCTGTTCTATTATCCTAATGCACTTTGTTTGTTATGATCTGCCTGTACCACATGCAAAACAAAACTTTTCATTGTACCAAGGTACATGTGACAATCATAAATCAAATCAAATCTATTTCAAGCCCACCGACTCCAACAGCTACCTAGACTACACATCCTCTCACCTATCTTCCTGCAAGAATACAATCCCCTACTCCCAATTCCTCCGCCTCCGCTGCATCTGCTCCCAAGATGGAGTGTTCCACTCCCAAACATCCCAGATGTCTTCTTAATTCAAGGACCGTAACTTCCCCCCTCTGGTGATTGAAAATGCCCTCAAACGCATCTCTTGCATTTCCCACACCTTTGCCCTCACATCGCCTCCTCCCAACAAAAACAAAAACAAAGTCAGAATCCCTTTTGTCCTCACATATCACCCCACCAACCTCCGCATCCCAACGTATCATTCTCCACCACTTCTGCCACCTACAATCTGACCAAAGATATATTTACCTCCCCACCCTTATCTGCCTTTCATAAGGACCACTCTCTCTGCGACTCCCTCATCCGCTCCACACTCCCCACTAACCCCACCACCCCCCCGCACCCTTCCCTGCAACCCCAGGAAGTGCTACGCCTGCCCCTACACCTCCGCCCTCACCCCCATTCAAGGCACCAAACAAATCTCCCACATCAGACAGATGTTCACTTGCACATCCGTCAATGTGGTCTACTGCATCCGCTGTTCCTGATGTGGCCTCCTCTACATTGGTGAGACGAAGCAGAGGCTCGGAGACCGCTTTGTAGAACAACTGTACTCTGTTCGCGACAAACAACAACAACCTTCCTGCCACGAAACATTTAAACTCCCCCTCCCACTCTCTGGGTGACATGTCCATCCTGGGCCTCCTCCGGTGTCACAATGATGCCACCCGCAAACTGGAGGAGCAGCACCTCATATTCCGCCTCGGGAGCCTACAACCCAATGGTCTCAATGCAGACTTTACCAGTTTCAAATATCTTCCCACTCCCGGCTTCATCTCATCTCCAACCCTCCCTCTCATCCCCGCCTCTTTGACCTGACACAACCTGTCCATCTTCTCTCCCACCTATCCAATCCTCCCACCTCACTGACCAATCCCCACCACTCCCTACCTGCACTCACCTATCACCATCCCACCTACCTTCCCCAGCCCTACCCCTCCTCTGTCTATTTAATCTGAACTCCCTTCCCCCTCCCCCATTTCTGAAGAAGGGTCCTGACCCGAAATGTCAGCTTTCCTGCTCCTCTGATGCTGCCTGGCCTGCTGTGTTCATCCAGCTCCACACTGTGTTAAATGAAATCATACTCTTGCCAGTGGAAGACCAGCACATTTCGGGCAGACACAAGAGTGTCTTTCACCGAGCTGATGGCCCTCCAGGCGCAATCGATGTTTGTCTCCATGTGTGTCCTGGGGAACAGACCATAGGGCACTGGGTCCTGAGGCATGGAGCTGCTCAGGACAACAAAAACCATGGCATCTTTCTCCAGAGCTTTGTTTTTGCAAAGGCATGTCTGACTGATTCAAATGTGAGAATGCTATCCCCTGTACCATAACTGAGATGGAACCCCAGTTGAAATAGAAAGGACCAGAGTAGTGTGGCCACAGTAGCGTTTTGGAACTGGATTGCCTGGTTAATGCAACATCATAATTCAAATATTGCTTCCTCTATAATTATAAAAACCACCTCATTACCTAAAAGTAAAAGAGAGAAAGAAAATGAAGCAACTTATGTTTTATATAAAGACTATTTTATAAGTTCATTGTCGTAGAGTCATACAGCATGAAAACAGACCTCTAATTCCAACCAGTCCATGCCGACTATAATCCCAAACTAAACTGGTCCCACCTGCCTGTGCTTGGCTCATACCCTTCCAAACATTTCTTATTCATATACTTATCCAAATGTCTTTTAAACATTGTAACTGTACCCACATCCACCACTTCCTCTGGAAGTTCATTCCACACACAAAATTGCCCCTCATGTCCTCTTTATATCTTTCTCCTCTCACCTTAAACATGTCCCCTAGTCACAAAATCTTCTACCCTTGGGAAAAGTTGTCTGCTAATCACCTTATCTATATCCCTCGTTATTCTATAAACCTCTATAAGATCACCCTTCAAGTTCAACATTACCCATAGCTAATGAAATATTATTAAAAGGAAGGGAACTCAAATCCTGATTAAATTAATTTTAAATCTACATTTTTCTAGTTCTGCTTTCCAAATTAGTAGTACCAGCATTCATTATTTTAAATTGGCAGACATGGACGAGTTGGACCAAACACTGCAGGCTTGAGAGAAATGCCTCTGAGAGAAGAAATGTTTCCTCATCTCTCTCTCAAATGTGTGACCCCTTACTCTGAGATGAGGCCGTCTGGTCCTCGTTTCTCGTCCAAGGGGAAGCAGCCTTGTTTAAGACAAGAGCTTTCTTCTCATTAGCACTCACTCACGGTTTTCCTTTTACCATTGTGGACCAAGGATGCCCTTCAGCCCAGTCAAGAAAACAGGATGGTGCCAGCAAATTATCCCAACCATGCTATATGACCCTGTCTGTCTGCCAGTAATGTAAATTGGAATGAGGGAGCGAGGAAGTTGCATGTTGTGTTCTTCCCATGTGTTTCTGACAATTTGTACGAGTTGCTTTAGTGAAATTGCCTGCTGTGTTACGTTTGTGTGTCATATCCCTGTATCGAGATGGGTGGTGGGAATTGGTCAGTTTTGTTTCTACAAGGAATCATCTCACAGACTGAGCTTGGCATATCTGCTCAGATCACAGGGTGAGACGGCATATTATGGACACTGTGTAATGTAAATTAGTGAGAAAGTGTCAAGTGTTATATTCCAGTGTTTTCCAGCTTTTATTATCTAAAGGAAAGGGCCTAGACTTTTCCTGCCTTTGGGTCTTCAGTCCCTCCACTTGAATCTTCTGAATTGGTGCAGGATGTGGGTTCATGGGATGTAGGTGTCCTGGGTTGGGCCAGCATTTATTGCCCATCCCTAATTGCCCAAGAGGGCAGTTAAGAGTCAACCACATTGCTGTGGGTCTGGAGACACATGTAGGCCAGACCAGGTAAGGATGGCAGCTTCCTCCTCTAAAGGACAATGGTGAACCAGATGGGTTTTTTTCCCTTTTCTGACAATCGATTCATGGTCAGCATCAGAGTCTTAATTCCAGATTTTTATTGAATTCAAATTCCAATATCTGCCATGGCAGGATTCGAACCTGTGTCCCCAGACTTTAGCTGAGTCTCTGGGTTAAAAGTATAAGTGATAAAGCCATCAGGCTATTACCTCCCTTTTTCTAAGC